GCCAACGGGGGTCTTGTACGACAAGTGCAGACTAACGGGCGAGGAGTCGATATCGTTGCGAACCTATCCCTGATGGTTAACAGCCCATAGCTACCTAAGTGAGATGGAGTTCAGACTCACTGCTGCCACAACGCTCAATGTGCCTTGGAGAAGACAGCTTTGAGGTTTCTGCATGAGAATGGCATCTTGTATGGGATACGATTCCCCATTGTTGTCGTAAACTTGAGATGTTCCGCTGGCCATGTTGACTGCCAAGGTGAAAGACGAGATGCCCGAAGAGGCCGGGATTTCAACATTTATCGGAAACCACTACCATTCGCGTTAAAAAGGGGGGACAAAACACGATATAAGCAGATGTGAACTCACCACGAACGTGTCATCAAAGCCTTGGGTAGCACCCAGGAGATCAGCAGTATAAGTGCAGCCCAGGTTGCCGCAGTTATCACCACCAGTTCGGTCCTTATAAGTCAGCAAGACACTCTCGGCGGAGTCATCTCCAAACTCGGTGGTGCGGACTCGGATCAACCCAGACAGTTGCAGGGTTGAAGCTCCGGGGTTCAGCGTCAGCTGCATATCGACTGGCTTGACGGCGTAGGGTTGGATGGGATCAGTAAGAACGACCCCGTCAGGGACAACTTCGATCATTTTGCGCAGCACTGTGGCGCAAACGCTGTTGAAGGTCTCTGGATCTGCCAGAGCGGCCATCGTCTCGTTTCCATCCACGTTGAAGACTTTGAAGTCAGCGTTTCGTGTGGCTCGTATCGATGGGCCGACGACCATGGGATTCTTTGTAGTGCCTGCAATGTATTCGGTGACGATCTTGTTGTCGAAGGTGTCGACACTAGAGTCCATTGGCCCCTCGCCATCTTCCGTGCTACCCACTGGGACAATTTCAGGAAACTCAGTCTCGTGAACGCCGCCAATACTGTGGCCGCATGCAACGACCTGGATCATCTCAGCCTGGCTGAAACCCATGCGTGTGAACTGCTGTTCAAATGTGAAGGCTGAGTTCTGGGGCAGAGGGACACCGATAGGGCCACCCTCTTTCGCATCAATCCTACCACTGGCGATGGGAACGACGGGGCCACCACAAGATCTCACGGCATAGTATACGCCGAGAGCAAGAAGATCGGCTACACCTGATCTGCTGGTGTAATAATCAGCCATGAACTTGAGCGTCGTGTTGAACGCCGGACCAATGTTGTCTGAGCTCAACAGTTCATATTGTAATGACCCGTCCATGCCGCCCGCACGGCCATCGAAAATAGTGGTAGTCGCCATATCATGGAAAGCGGCTCTCAACCACTCTGCAGCATTATGGCGCCCGGGCCCCGAAGCTTGACTTGAGCAGGGTATGACAGTTCCGCCGAATTGCCGAGAGCGGTAGCCTTTCACCTGATACATGATCTCTTCTAGCTCGTCGACCTGAGATGGCCAGGTTGGGTCTGCTCTCGCCAACATGCTCAGCGAGAGCATCGCCGACAGGAAACGGGTATGCCAGCGCATGGTGAAGACCTGTCCTAGCACAAGCTAGGATAAAGTATTAAGAATTAAATAATTATGACAGACGACCATATATCCCGTGGCTGGTCTGACTGAACCAGTGAGATTGGTGCAGACAGAGCATCGTCTCGGATACCTAGTCTCAGCACGAGGTGAGGAAGAGAAAGCCTTTAATAGAAAATTCGAGTCATCTCGGTACGGGTGGGCTTGAAGCAGCCACGATCCGTCATTCAATATCTTCCCGACGATAATCTGGGCTGCGTCGATCCCTGTCGTGTACCCAAGCAGCGGAGGTGGAATACGAGAAAAGAGAATGGTGGCTAATAGGTAAGATGGGATTGGGCCAACCTGCTGCTGAACGTCCAGCCGCAGAGGTGGAACGATCGACTAATGCAAGCCAGGATGGAGACCGAGACATGTCGTACTCTGTAGCGTAGCGAAGCATGCAGCCTCAAAGGAGGAAGATTAGACATGGGCATACGAAGTAGGTATTATACCTAATGCTACCCAAGGATCCACACGTGGAATTCCCAGATCATCAGGGTCCGCGGGACCAACCGAACCGAGCAAGACCTCTCCCGAGCCATGCCCCATCAGGTCCTGGTTGCCCGCCGACCATGGGTGAAGGATGATCAGCATTGAGGCTCTTCGAAGTCGTTGTCAAAGACAGTGATCAGGGCAATGTAATAACGACGCCTTCAACTCTTCGCAGGCGAGAAGGCTACTGCTTTGAGCTACCGCCGAACGACCTCTCAACAAACTCATCAGCTTGGCGTGCAGATACGTGGCGCCGTTGTGAATGGAACGCTCATGCTCGTCTAAGGCTCGTCTACGGTGGCCAAGAAGATACCGTACAGCCGCCGTAGGCACCCCAGAAAGCGACCAGGCCTGTTCGATCTCGTTAAACAACGGTACCTGAGATGGCGGATGGATGGACGGTCAGGTGATAGTAAAATGCTTCCCAGTGAAGTTTCTTTTTTCAGCTTCGCAATAGGCAATTCACTCCAAGTTGGGCAGGTATCACAGAATAATAATGGGTTATCCCGCATCCCGGTCTTGTCGCATTTGGAGGGACGTTGCCATCCACTGCACTAAATAATGATATGTTCCACAGGGAGGAAATAAATGCCAAGTGAACGATCCTCGCTAAGTTACTTCCTAAACATATTTTCCGAGATGGGCATTTTCAAGGATGTAGTTTTAGCAGCTTTTTTGATCGTCAAAGATACTTGTAAGTACCTATGAATATTAGTGATACCGACCTTTACTGAGCCAGTATGAGCTGTAATAAACAAGAATATGTTGTGGTTCACTCGATCAGGACGACCTCGCGGAAGATTGGTGGCCATATGGGTAGCTACATTACACTAGGATTTGGAAACCCCCATGCGGGTGTAAGATCTAGACAGCTACTTACCTCTGGATACCAAAACATGGGTAGCCACCTACACTAGACACCCTTGTCAGCGGGTTCACCTGGCTAGACTGCGCTGGATCTTTCTCCTGGTGGTCAGCTCGGAGAAATATTCCACGCTATGGTTGATGTTGCAATTACGGTAACCGACGTGGCATCTCGTCAAACATGAGATATTCTGGCCACTTGGGCTTACTATGTCGCTCATAACTGAGTTGCTACAGGCGTTGCGGCAACTCAAGATGTATGCTATCAAAGAGGGTTGCTCTAGATATGGAATTCGTAGTTCTAGCCAAGGGAGGCTGTTGACGCTTCAAGTCCTTTTTGAGATTCTCGAGATCTCGATGCACATCACATGTAAGTCGTGTGCCCACCATTGGCGGTTGAGAGGAGACACAAGCGTACACATACGTAGGTAACTATAGAAATAGGCAAGTTACAACCGGCCAAGTCTTCCGAGACGGGTTCACAGCAGTACCAGACCGGCTTCGGAAGTCTAATCTAGGGAAGCCGTCGTGGATTGTGTTTCGTGGTAATAATTTCTGAGCCATTTCTAGATACCTATTCGCGAACTATACATAAATATGCAAATTAGAATCTTACTTATTATATAGACATTTGTATTTAGTTATTGTTGGCAGTTAGGGAGTTGAGGTAGTGTGGGATACCTAGGTATGGTGTAGGTTGGCGAATTCTTATACAATGAATAACAAGGGTCATGTTGAGGTTGACTGAGCTGAAAGAAAACACCAAAATAGTAGTGCTATTAGCGGAGCCCATGCTATCATAGCCCACTATTCAGGTACACCACCGCGCCCGTGCGTGCCGACGTTAGTAGTATAAGCCCGTTGACTTAGATCCTTGTTGGCCACTTAGTACTTAGTACCCTACCTAGGCAGTTAGATACACCGTTCTCGATGCTACATAGTATGTGAACTTCAACTACCGCAAGCTCCAATAGACCCGGGACATCATACCTCCTAAACTATCGCAACATGCGTCTAAGTCTGCCGGGGCATCCGGGCCTTAACTTGCAGCCTTGCCAAGCAGGTGTCAGCAGTGGGAGGGAGTGATTGCAACTACAACATGCAGTAGACAACAATATTTCCGGTATGCCATTGGCCTAGACCGTTATTGTAACCCAAATCGGAGAGTTGATGACGCCGCACTGGAATCCCGCCCCGAGAAAGGCACTGAAATCTTTGACGGTGGCCGATTGAGAAGGAATCGTACGAACATGTCAGGGTGATATTTGGTTCCTCGCCCCATCAATCCTCATTCCATTCCACACTTCTCATGCCCCCCCGATGGGCATGACCAGGCAGATAGAAGCACGACCCTACGGTAGTACTCGCTCGCCTTCACTAAGAGTTCAACGACAAAATAGGTAGGTAGTCTGTGTGTTGGTTGCGAGTGATACTCTCATTTAGGGCCGATGACCTATCACCCATCCATGGCGCCAAATTCCAATAGTGCTTCTGCAGTTATGAGCACTCCAGAGCTGGAGGCTTAAACCCGATTATATGCGGGACAGGCAAACTTGAGTGACATGTGGCAGGGTATATCAGACAGTGCTTATATTATCGCCCTCACGGCGAGCTCTATGTGTTATATCTGAGAGCGAGGAGCATACTCAGTGGCAGAAGATCCATGTCGCGAGGGCTTACCCTTACATGGAAAAGCACGAAGGCCATGATAATCACAGATACAAAGTGTCTCCGAACCCCTATTTGAGTTCGAGTATACATGTTGCTATTCCCATGAAATGGTCAATAAGATAATTAACAATGATAATGTTACTTAAAAAAAACCCCCCAAATGCTAAAACTTTTCGGACAGCTCGTATTATCTATGCAGATCGTGACGTAAAGGACTTTCGATTCCTCACACAACGTACGAAGTATGCTTCTCCTGATTTAACTTTTGCGGTTTTATACCTACATTAAACACTAGGTGAATAATAAACTACAACGGCGTTCTTACTACCATCCGAAAGGCGTGTTAAAAAAGTAATTCAACGAGCTAGCTAGGTAGCCTACGCGGAGAAAGTGCTGAGAAAAGAAAAAAAACGGTAATTTGTATACTCCGAATCGGGGAATCGAACCCCGGGCTTGACGGTACTTTGCAGGATCACAGACAGATGTTTGCGATTTACTGAGAGCGTCAAATGTTAGCCACTACACCAATTCGGATTGTTGTCGGCGGCACTTAAGTTTACCCTATATCCTCTAGCGCTGTGGGCAACCCCGCGTGTCACATGCTGGATAAACTTCGGGGCAGATGGCGGGGCGATTCATGGACCTTGGCAGGTACCTACCTTGTCCACGTCGGGACTACTCCACCCTTTGTTGTATCCTGATTCCATCTCGTTATCTTGTCACTCACTTGATCTCACCATCTCTATCTACTGCTAATCCAACACATCTCAACTTAATCCTACTTACACAGACATCCACTTATTCCCACGTCGCCATCTTTCAGATCGCTTGAAAGCCCGGTGTTATAGATGTCCATCGAGAACCTTAAGTCATTCGGTAGGCAACTTCCGCACTGAGGCTAACCTCTTCCCAACCCCGCTAATGCGTATGGCTAGACCCCTTCCATGATGCTGAAGCAGACGAGGACACGAGCCAGGTGAAGAGTCAGCAAGAAGATTACGTTCACATTCGAATTCAGCGTTAGTTCTCTCCTTCATGGTACCCCTCTCCCTTTGCGCGGCATGACTGACCAACGCATAGAACGTAATGGCCGCAAGACCCTAGTCAGTCCCCTGAAGTCTCTCAAACCCCTCTTCCGGCTTGTCTGGATAGTCAGAAAGTGTTTCAAAGCCATTGCTTTGCTCTCGCTACTCCCGAAAGCTTCCAAAACTCTCAGTAATCCGTATCACCAGTGAGCAGCATTATTGACCCAAGTGTTATAACAGACCACCGTCCAGGGGTTGCCCAACAAGTTTGACCGAAAGAAGATTCTCACGGTCATCAAGAAGAAATTCGCTTGCAATGGCACCGTCGTGATCGACAGCAACATGGGCGAAGTTATTCAACTTCAGGGCGACCAACGCAAAGTTATGCGTGCGTAGCCCCTAAATACACTTCCAGTGGCTACATTCAAGATGACTGACACTGCGTAGAGGAATTCCTGGTTGGACGCGACGGCCTGGAGCTTGACCCCAAGAAAATCAAAGTTCACGGGTTCTAGTTGGTACCTAGCGTACTAAGCGCTGGCACTGGGATCTGTCTACTCGTTTATGGGATCCCCTCGGCCACAGTCGTCGTGGATATGTTACTGTCACGAGACTATCGCTGAGATCAGCGCCCACGTTTTGTTCTGTATGTTGCAGGTGTTAAAGAGCTATGGTACAAAGTTTCCATAGAAGGGTCATGGCCAACTCCGGATCCAAATATCACCATGCGCAGCTCAGTTTATATGACCAAGAGCTTTGTCCTCGTTCTTATTGCCTCCTAAAACCTGCCGGTTGTTGTTGACAAGGTGGACTAAGTGTAAATGTGAACAGCGGCTGATTTTAACTAAAGTGTTTCGTCCACGCCAATATTCGCTAGGAAGCGGACCTTATTCTATAGACTCTGTAAATAAGGTATGATCCCTTTTATACCGTGTAGTTGCGATTTTGGCAGCGACTGAAGAAATAACTTACGAGCTCACGACTTAGGTGAACGGTCAAGTACCTGCCCAAGAGAAGGGCATCTTAGGAGGAAGGTACGGGATATAAACATGTAGGGGTAGGTTGCATCATACAGTACATGATACAGTGTTGAAGTTGGTATGTACACTACTTGTACTGTACGTCACCCCCAGCGGACCGGCAGAATTTCTAACAGCCAGTAACGACCCGTAGCGGAAGAGTGGACTAGCCCTTCACTCCCACACAAAATTAATTTGCGGATCCTTTGATTGACAATTTTCGACTCGAGAAGCATCACCAACGTAAATTTCTCCCGACCATCCACCAACAAGTCGAGGTACGCACGACGTCCACACCGCAGAACCAGGGCCTCTCTCGCTCAATTCTGCGCTCTGCCCCTCGCACTCTCATCTTCTCCCTACTAACATCCCGCCTTGACACAGCCCAGCGACTTCAAGATGGCTTCGAGACCGACCGTCACCATCATCAGCAAAGATGGGACTCCTTCGGGAGCTACCCACCCCATCCCCACCGTCTTCGCCTCTCCCATCCGGCCCGACATTGTCCAGCAGGTGCACACCGGCATGGCCAAGAACAAGCGCCAGCCATACGCCGTCAGCGAGAAGGCCGGTCACCAAACCTCTGCCGAGTCGTGGGGAACTGGTTAGTTGTCCATTCTCTTTTGGATCAGGAGGCTGCGGGACGAGTTCGTAGGGCGGGATGGGCATTCGCAGGGACTAGGACTGCCATCGCATCGTACAGGCGCCGATTGGGAGTGTGACATAGCCGCTGACAATGGTGCCCAGGTCGTGCTGTTGCCCGTATCCCTCGTGTCTCTGGTGGCGGTACTCACCGTGCCGGTCAGGCTGCCTTCGGTAACATGTGTCGTTCCGGTCGCATGTTTGCCCCTACCAAGACATGGCGCAAGTGGCACATCAAGGTCAACCAGGGACAAAAGTGAGTAGAGCCGTTGTAGTGCGCTTCCGCTGCATATTCATTAGAAACTAACCACGAGAAGGCGATTTGCTACTGCCTCTGCCCTCGCTGCCTCCGCCGTCGCCCCTCTCCTCCTAGCCCGTGGCCACCAGATCTCGAACGTTCCCGAGGTGCCCCTGGTTATCGACTCCGCCGTTTTCGAGGGAGGTGCTGCTGCCAAGACGGCTAATGCCTTCGCCATTCTGTCCGCCGTCGGCGCCTCGACCGATATCATCAAGGCGAAGAAATCCAAGAAGCTCCGGGCCGGAAAGGGCAAACTGCGTGGCCGTCGTCATCGCCAGAGACGTGGACCCCTAGTGATCTACGACCCCGAGGTTGATGGTTCTGAGCTCGTCAAGGGCACCCGCAACCTGCCCGGTGTTGAGACTTCTTCTGTCTACGCTCTCAACCTTCTCCAGCTGGCCCCTGGTGGCCACTTGGGCCGATTTATCGTCTGGACCTCGGCTGCTTTCAAGGCCCTTGACAGCATCTACGGCACCACCACCACGCCGTCCGAGCTCAAGAAGGACTTCCTCCTGCCTTCCAATCTCGTCGCCCAGGCCGATCTGAGCCGTCTGATCAACAGCTCCGAAATCCAGAGCGTCCTGCGCGCCCCCAAGGGTGGCTCGGTGACAAAGCGTTCCGGTATCCAGAAGAACCCTCTGCGCAACAAGCAGGTCATGCTGCGCTTCAACCCCTACCACGCGACGTTCGTCAAGAAGGAGCTTGGCCAGCAGAAGAAGGAGGCTGGAAAGCCACCCAAGACTGCCGAGGGCTTCCTCAGCGTCCTGAAGGAAGATTAAATCAGACACGCTTGGTGAGCAGCTTGTCTAAGGGGAAACGGATAAGAAGAAAGCATCGGATCATGATTGTCTTGGGCGTAATGGGTTCATCGGGTTTCATGAATCAATGGAATTGTTGTTACGAACATTCTTCGCCCCCACCTACCTTGATCTTTTATGTCCTTGAGCCGTGAATATTTCTTCTTTATTGAGTGCTTAATGAGTGATGATGATTACGATAATAATTTCCATATCCATGGTCCCACATAGTGTGTTAAGTACTCTACGCAAACGAGCACAAATTGCGGTAAAGGTAGGTAATACTCGTAGTTATTACCTGTTGCCTGGACTCGAACAGTCAAGAGTAGAGGCCTTTTTTTCTTCCTCCTTTTGCCATGCCGACCAAGAACCTGACTTCAGCAATCTAGGAGGAGCCCCTGATCCCATGTACTACCTATCTATCGACCCAATGGTAATATGTAGGGACTTAGGCATGTGATACCCACATGTAACTTTATCTCAGAGAGCGTTGTGGTACCTTACTTTAGCTTACCCTGCTTTACTTCAATTTGTTCTACTTTACGCAGTAGGTACGTCATCTACTAGGAGGCTGCTCAGTAACGTTGAAGGTGTATTTAAAATATTGTGCATCTGCTCCAGTTATCTACTTGAAACCCCTCTAAGACATCGGTTTGGTCAAAACGTGCCCAAAATATGCTCATACCTCCTATATACTGTCTCTTAAAGCAGCGGCAAGATGTCGTTATGTCGTTAAGAAAAAAAGAGCAAAGCAGATGTTCAGCCCTGGCCTGGGAGAGAAGGCCAGCCATCCATATCCATCTCTACATTCCGTCAAGAAGCAATGCGTTGACGATCTAGCAGCCCATATAGGCCATGTTCGCCAGATCGTCGGACTCGCTGGCCTCGAGCGATCTCACCTTCTCCAGCAGCGCCTCGATTTCCGCGACCTTCTTGATGCGCCAGAACTTCTGGACGCCCTGGCCGAACCGCGTCGAGCAGGCGCTGTTCATCTCGTCCGACTCGGCCGCGAAGCACAGACGGTAGTATCCCCAGCCGCGCTCGGCGGCGATCTGCGGGCTGGCGCTAAACATCGCACCCGGACTGGCGAGGACGAGGTATGGTGCGTACGTCAGGAATATCATCAGTGCCATTGAGAGCGCAGAGCCGTCGATGACGTTACCCTGAGACCCCGTCGCCTTGAACAACGGGTGTTCTTCGAAGTGGACTCGGATCCACAAGAACATGCCGCCGAGCGGCCACTTGAAGTCGTACAGCTTGGTCTTCGTGATGACGCCCCAGTCCGAGTCGGCATCACGCACAGGTGTCGACTGCTTCAGCTGATACGCGTGCTCCTCGAGAAGTCTGCACATGTCGTTCATCCGCCGCTCGTACGCGCCGCGCAAGCCGGCGAGCCACCGCACCCAGCCCTCCGTCTTCCAGCCGGTGAAGGCGGCCTGGTCTCTGCGCGACCTCGAGGTGAAGGCAGCGGTGGCCTCGGGCTGTGGTCCCATGATATTTTCCGCGATGATCGCCTGGACGAAACCAGAGGGCTGCTGGGTACCGGACTCGCTGATACGAACGATACGCTCGCAGATCTCGGGCGACGCCGTTACCCAGCCAAGCCGGCAGCCCGGCGCGACCGTCTTGGAAAACGTGTCTAACCGGACGACTCGGCCGTCGACGTCGATGTTCAGGAACGAAGGCACCAGCGAGTCTATGAAGGGGTGGCCGGATTTGTTCGGTAGAGAATTGGCAACTCTAGGCTCGGGGA